ACATAGAAAGCAAATGAGAAGATGTTATGAGAGAGAGAGAAAGAGAGAACAAGAATGAGTGAGGAAAAACACAAATGCATTTATTAAGCCCTAAGAAATTTGGTTGATAGAACTACACATTTAATGTGAGGCAAGTAGCTTAATTTAGTCTTAAACATTGAAATGGTAAAAAATGGGATAACCTTTACTTGTTGAAGTCTAAACTTAGGATGATAAGATCCATCCCAACTAAGAGAGGCTAAGAATTAGAATTAACTAAACTTCAACTTTAGAACACATCCCAGGAAAATTAGGTGAAAATATTACGTTGAAGAGAGGTGTATCTCTCGAGTGAAGAAATTTAATATTTGATTATTACGAGTCGGGAGTTAAACCTATCATGAGCTTGATATGTTTACATGAGTTTACACACACGTCTAGTTATGCATATAAGAGATAGAGGTTGATTTGATTTTGCAATTTTGAAGCGGTTTATTTTGTAGATTACTAAATTCCAATTCTGAGATATGGCAAGTTATCAAATCATGTTATGTGTAGAGTTAAGCTAAAGTTTTGTTTGAAGACAAATAATAGTTCAAGTTTAACGATTTGATAAGTATGTTCTGCATACTTATTTAGGCCACAAAACATGGATAATTGTTGACAAATATATTGGAATATAGACTAATTCTATATAAACTATGTTTTGTAGGATAACATTGATGGACGTGGTGGAATTTAGGAGAAACAAGTGAAAAATGACTATAATAGAAGAAAATCAAAGTTCAGGAACCAAGGTACAAATAGTCGAAAGACGACCAAGAAGAAATAACGAAGATTTGAAAGGGTTAGTGACCAATTTAGCGAAGACATAAAGTATTGGAAGAAGAAGTGAGAAAAGAGTTCAAGAAACGAGAAAACGAATTTTGAAAACTAAAATGTAAAGAATGAAATTTTACTTGAACTCTGCTATAGCATAGTTTCTGTCTCCATCTGATTGCATGGCATTATGTAGGAGGCCTCAAGGTTGAAATTGGTTGAACTATGCATGCGATTGTACTATGCTAGCATTGTGCATTTCCTGAGAAAAAAAATTGGTTTCCTTATATGATTGCAACTCTTATGGAAACATGATTTGGGACCTAAGACCATCTAGAAGTGGTTACAATGTATTACAACACATGGCAAGCATAAAAGACGACAAGGAACAAGATGAGAGATTCCACAACATCAAATCTAATCAAGATTCATAACTTGGGTGATGTCTACTCACTATTCTTTTGTCTTCTTCTTCATAACATGCTGAGCTAGATCTTTTTGTATTAGGAGAATGATGAACCTTGTAATATGAGTTTTTAATCACAGCTCTAAAGAGTGAGACAAGCAAACCACCCGGTGTCCTAGTGTTTGAAAGCTAACCCGTCTTGCCATTCCTAATGAAAGAAGTGGTTATTGTTACCTATGCTTGTGCCCCTTAGACAAATGGCTGATGCCATCTTATTTAATGCATCCTATCATAGCTCTTCATATTGTGAAAAAATAAAATAAACAATAATAATAATAATCCTTTTGCTAATTACCTCAGACTACTCTTTATATACACTATTCTTTGAATCTTGAAAGAGGCTATGCCCTTCCTTACCTAAGAGTTCTTGCTTCAAGTTTTCCTAGCGGGTGGACTATCAATAGCGATTGAAGCTCCTTATGTGCCTAGTTTTGAAATACTCTTCCTTTAGAGCAAACAAGCTCTTTGTGCCCTCACGTATGGCTTATACTTTGCTAATAGATGAATAGTATGCCCAGGGGACTATTTCTTGTTTCAATTTCACTCATTTTAATGTATACTGGGAATCATACTATTTCAATCAAAAACTATTTAAAAGATTCCCATGTTTGCATTTCTAGAGGAAGGTGATCCAGATGATTGGAATTTTTTTCCAATCTAATTCTTCTAAAATTTTCTATTTTAATTAAATGGCTTTTACTATCCTCATAGATTAGATGGATATTGAGGAAGACCAAACCTTTTTTTATCCCTCTTGACTCTACAAAGCAGAAATTATTTTCATATCCTTCCCGGCTCTTATCCCTTGTTCAATGATGATCTTCATTATATATTCTAGGATAAAGCTTTTAGCTCAATAAAAAATGGGTTAAAGCATTTGTTGCATATTTGGTTCGAATCGATTGCCCCATCCCTTGTGCTCTAGCAGCTCAGCACGAAAGTTATTACGAGATGCTACTTGGAAAACATTAGCTGCAAGTGGACAGAGTTGGGAAGGATTGTCCCAAGGGTTTGGTTGTTCACTGATTCAAGTGGTACGTGAGTTGGGTTTAAAACATTGTGAGACAGTTTGGTTCCTATCAACCGTTGGTGTTAAAGTGAGAAATACAATGTCTGCCTTCATTCTTGCTCAAGCTAAAGCTCGGTTTGCTAGCTCAAGTCATAGGCCTTTCAAGCCCTACTAAGTAAAGAGAGATGTGTTGTTGGCTGCTTTAACCTCTCTTATGCTTAACATTGATCCTCTCACATACTTCCTCAAGCGGCATAAGACTCAATGACCCAATCTCTGTTGGAATTCTAAATATTTCAATAATTGTACTAATCCACATGTGTCTCTCTCCCATCAATCAGTACTAGTTTACATATTTGATATTGAAAACACGTTTATGAAAATTAAACAAGTTATATGATTATCTTTTTTCCTTAATTATTCTGCATGGTACTTGTGTGAATTTGGTGGCTTATTTTTTTGCATTCTAAGGAAGGAAAATAGGCTCGACATGGGTGTAAATGTCATAGGGTCTAATTTGGGATAGAAATATACTGTTATACTCTATGTGAATCTTTAAGTGTTAATAAAAATTCATGCATTCTTGTACGTTCGCATCCATCATAAAAATATAGTCGAGTCATATATGAGAGTATATTTAACATTACTCGAGAAAGATTGTTGAATAAATTAGGAACATTGATTCTTAAAAATTCATCGTGTTGCCAAAGTGTAGAATTCTGTTAAAAAGGATTATTACATGAGAATTCGCGATCTTATTCGTCATTCGTTAGAGCATATCAACTTTCATTCAGCAATATCTGCATTTAGTTAGTTAAATTCACTCATAATTGCACAAGTAACTTCTTTTAGATATAATTTCATCACAAACACATCTTATTATTCTTCTTTCAAGGCGATACTCAAAATCCAACTAAATCAATCTTTATGAGACGATACTTGGACTCACATCCACTTTATTACTTGTTAACAAACAATATACTTCCGGTACTTCAAATGAACAATATTTTCATGAACAGGGACTACGAAATGTACAGATAATAATGAGTAAAAATTTTGAATGTATGATTTAAATTATGATTTTAATAGGGATGGTAGAAGGAATTTTTAGTTTGCTAAAATTGTTTTCCGAACAAAGCTATGCACTCCCAGCTTTGATTCTTATATTCCTAGTGAATAGAGATGGCAAAAAAGTCACCAAACCCGATACTTGTAGGCCTACCCCCGAACGAAGTGGGGATTACCCGCTTAATCGAGTATTTGGGCTAGTTTGGAGCGGGGGATTCCACCTCAAGACGAGTACGGGTAACACCTACACCACTTCGCCCCGATAATTTTTTTTTAAGAATTTAATACTTTAAACGGAAAATTCCACTTAATTTCATTAATTCTAATAAAATATGGTAACTGAGATTATCTAAGGAATATTATTTACCAAATATATTAGAATAGTTTAACTCTTAAAAATAAATAAATTAATTAAAAAATTTAATAACTATTACACTTTAATGAATGAACGTAGTAAAATGAATCATCAAAATATTTTTATTTTTTTATTTTTAAAAAGAGTAAATAAACAGGTAAAGGCCCTGCTCCACCCTTAATTTTTGGACAATTTTCAGAAAGTTTTCGATCTGACTTTTTTGTTTCGTTTCTGTCGGTTTCCTGGACATTTTTTAGGCTAAGTTTCACTAACCAAATACACCACCTTGAAGCTTTGATATCAATTGTCGTTAAAGCTCACTCCAAGGATTGTCAAATCAGAGTTTTTTAGGCTCAGTATCACATTACCTTTCTCCACCAAATAACAAATCCAACAGCTTCGGATTCAAAACCAATATATTTACCTAGGTTGCTTCTCAATCTCACCTACGAAAGACAAGATAACAATGATGATTTGTAGCCACAAAGACAGGGAGAAAGGCAATAAAAGAAGGCATGAAGAGGAGGCCGAATACATAAAGAAAAACCACCGATTTTGGCACCACAAAAGGTGGTTGCTTTTCTCTCAATGGGCAGCCCGTTTTCTCCGTTCAAACTCACAAATCACGCTAAAATGGCTAGGGTTAGAATCATATAAATGAGGTTAGGTTAGGCTTTTAATTGGACCAATAAGAAAGATAAATGAGCCAAAATTCAATGACATCCATGAGGTAATATAAATGGGTTGGGTAGAGTAATTGGACTTGATTGTTGGTATATATTTCACTCATCGGTTGAGGCATATGAAATGTATATTCTCACATTAACATCATAGCCAGAATTCATTGAGTATCAAAACCCAACACTTTAGAAAATTTCCATCACTTTACCCAGTTTGGTCCATATTTTCAATTGTTAAAAAAACTATTAAATTGCAGAAAACTATTTTATTTTTCAATATATTCGAAAATGAGACACCTTACTACAAGAAAGCAACCAAATGAGGCCCATCAAGAAAGTTTTAAAATCCATTGAATGCAAATTTAATCAAAAGTCAACATTGGATGACAAAATAATAAGTGTGCAAAGATTGCAATCAATCATTTTCTTGCCAGTTTGTGTAAATTTCCCTTTAAATAAGGGGAAACTATGTGGCACTTTCCTAAGTAGCCTTCCCCAAAGGCGTCAGCAAACTTAAAGAAATTACTTTTCTCTTCTCTTGCCGCGTTAAATTTTAATAATACATAGACCAAGACCTAAAATCAATTATAAATGTATCATTTTACTACCAACTTCTCATAATTTCCAGAAAACGAGCAAAAAGAAAGTGGAAGAAGAAGGTTCCTTGTATTTGTTGTTTCATCTTCTCTACAAAGTTTGACTTGTTAAAAGGTCGCATTTATTTACTTAAATGTAGCTTTGTATGCGAGTAAGATTCCTGGTAGGCCTGATATTAAATGATTCGTGACAAGTAATCTCCTTGTATAAAATAGACAAGATTATCCATAGAAATTTTTTCTTAAACAGTATTGTCGTTGGACTCTTTTTTATATAATCACCCTTAAACCACCCGGCTGCCTATATTTCTGATATTCTATCTTATTCCCCTTTTTGATTTAGGTCGTCTGCTTGAATCATCATGAACATACTGACAACCATGCCAAGCAGTAGTAGCTTTCAGGCATCCGGCAGAGACTCCGGCGAGACAGTAGATTCATCTACAATGGTCGACATTGAGTCATCACGTTTCTCCTCGTTTGATCCTGCACACATAACTAAGCTTGTAAGAACCCAAGATAAAAAATGGCTTCGAGAGCATGGAGGTATAGAAGGCGTGCTGTTAGCCCTGGAAACAGATATGGAGAATGGCGTCAGAGGTGATCGAACTGACATTGACAGCAGAAGAAAAACCTTCGGCTCTAATCTTCTTCCCGAGTATAATCTGCGAAAAACATTTCGCCGTTTGGTGTTGGAAGCAATTAGAGATCCCATGATCGCTGTTTTGTTTATCTGTGCTGTGCTTTCTCTATGTTTTGGCATTGAAAAACATGGCCTACGACAAGGATGGCAAGAAGGGTTGACAAAAATACTTGCTATTCTTGTAGTGGTAATTGTTTCCTCCAGCGGAAAATTCTGGCCAATCACTCAATGCCTTGAATTTTCAGTTATCAGCAGCTATATTCCTGAAACTGATGTTGTGAGAAGCAGTAAATGGCAGCGAATTCCAATATGTCGTGTTCTTGTCGGAGACATAGTTTTCCTAAAGCCTGGTGATCAAGTTCCTGCCGATGGATTGTTCATAGATGGCTGTTCACTGAATACAGAGATGACGAAGACAGATGGGCAAATTGATCGAATCGAAGTGGATGCACACGAGAATCCATTCTTGTTCTTTGGCAGTACAGTTGTGGATGGTTATGCCAGAATGCTAGTGACAGGAGTTGGCAAGAACGTAAAGCACCATGGAATTTCTTTGAGGGGGTCTTTAATTGACGAGCTCAAAATAATCACCTCTATAGTAGGCAAATCTGGTAAGACAGTTGCTCTGCTGACATTTATGGTATTTTTGGTACGTTTCTTGACAGGCAAACTACATGATGATAACGGTAAAAGAGTGTCTTTTGGTGGAGAAACAAGAATTGGCGATGTTCTTGCTGTCATTGTTGGGATTGTGGCTACTCCAACAATGATTGCTTTGACATCTACTCCAGAAGATTTGGTTTCCGCTGTCAGAACGTGTCTTGCTTATTCAATGAAGAGACTGATGAAGATTCAAATTCTTGTGAGAGAACCTTTAATCTGCCATAAAGTTGCATCTGTCACCACTGTCTGCATGAATAAAACTGGAACCTTAACTATGGATTCCATGGAGGTACTACTTTTCCTCTCCCAGTGCACTTATCTGTTTTTCATGGTCAATTAACAACTTCTGCAAAGTTGTTTGTGAATAGATAATACCGTCATATAGGCATAACAGGAGATTAGAAATGAAAATTGCTAAAGAAGATTAGGTAAAATGTAAATGCTACAGGGAAAGTGTTAATGGCAGGTTCAGTATACAGATTTCAAAGTCAGTTTCAATAGTACATACGTTCAACAGGCTCCTTATGTGATTGATGTCAATGACAATAAAAGATTCATTTGTCTTGTCTGTAGGTGACCAAGTTCTGGCAAGGTCTAAACTCCATTGAAGAAGTTCAGCATAATTTGATTGCTCCAAGTGTGCTTGAATTACTGCACCAAGGAATTGGTTTAAACACTACTCAACCCCCTTCAAGGTCTTCATCATCTTCTCCTATAAATTCAACTGAGAAGACAATTTTTGAGTGGGCAGTTAAGCAGTTAGGGATGGATGCGGAAAGTCTGAAGAAAAGCTGCACTATTCTTGAAATCAACCCATTCAATTCGAAGAATAGGCAAAGCGGGGTTTTGATCAGTAAAAATGGCGACAATACGATTCACGTACATAGAAAGGGAGCTCCAGAAGTGATAATTCCAATGTGTTCTCATTATTATGAGAGTACTGGAAATGTAAAAGTGATGAACAAAGGTTCCTTAGCTTTATTTGAGCAAATTCTTGCAGGCATGGCAGAAAATGGCTTCAGATGTATAGCTTTTGCACACAGGAAAACATCAATAAGAGATTATTTCACCTTCTCTCGACAGCAGCTGATTCTATTAGGCCTTGT